AATAGATAAAATTAAGCTTATATTTATTAGTATCTCCAACAAATGCAATACATACATAGACAGACTGCTGAATACATACACACAGTCTGCTGAATACACACACACAAGACTGCTGAATACAGAGACTGATGAATACACACACACACACACAGACTGCTGAGACACACACACACACACAGACTGCTGAGTACACACACACACAGACTGCTGAGTACACACACACACAGAGACTGCTGAGTACACACACACACAGACTGCTGAGTACACACACACACACAGACTGCTGAGTACACACACACAGACTGCTGAGTACACACACACAGACTGCTGAATACACAAACACAGTCCGCTGAATACACGCAAACACACACAGACTGCTGAATACACGCACACACACACACTACTGAATACACACATACTGCATTGAGGTGGGGGGTGCGTGTGTGTGTGAGTGTTGTATGTGAGGGGTGCTGTGTGTGTGTGGGGGGGGGTGCTGTGTGTGTGTGCGCTATATGTGTAAGGGTGCTGCGGGGGGGTAGGGGTACTGCTGGGAGGGTAGGGGTACTGTGTGAGGGGGGTAGGGGTACTGCTGGGAGGGTTGGGGTACTGTGTGAGGGGGGGTAGGGGTACTGTGTGGGGGTAGGGAATGCGTGTGGGGGGTAGGGGTACTGTGTGGGGGTAGGGGGCTGCTGCTGGGGGGGTGGGGTTACTGCTGGGGGAGGGTAGGGGGTACTGCTGGGGAGGGTAGGGGTTACTGCTGGGAGGAGGTAGGGTACTGCTGGGAGGGGTAGGGGGGTTACTGCTAGGCAGGGTAGGGGGTTACTGCTGGGGAGGGTAGGGGTTACTGCTGGGGAGGGTAGGGGTTACTGCTGGGCAGGGTGGGGTACTGCTGGGGGTTAGGGGTACTGCTGGGGGTAGGGGTACTGTGTATGGGGGTATGGGTACTGTGTATGGGGGTGGGGTTCTGCTGGGCAGGGGTGGGGGCACTGCTGGGGGTAGGGGTTACTGCTGGGGGTAGGGGTGCTGCTGGGGGAGGGGTACAGGGGTTACTGCTGGGAGTGTGGGGTTACTTGCTGCTGGGGGTAGGGGTGCTGCTGGGGAGTGTAGCGGTTACTGCTGGGGGGGTAGGGGTGCTGCTGGGGAGTGTAGGGGTTACTGCTGGGGGGGTAGGGGTGCTGGGGGTAGGGCGCTGTGTGTCAGTATACCCCCCCTCCCTTCTTCTTACCTTTAATGAAGTGGGGGGGGAGGGGGGGACACAGCTATCCCTGGTGGTCCGGTGGTGGTAAGCACTGCAGGGGGAGGGCTCCAGGAAGCAGCTCCCCTGTCCTCCTGCGCAATGCTGTGTGGAGCGTTGCCATGGTAACGCGCGGCAACGCTCCACACAGCATCGCGCGGGAGGACAGGGGAGCTGCTTCCTAGAGCCCTCCCCCTGCCTCCCGACCCGGAAGCAGAGTAGGCGCCTGCCGTTTCGGGCAGGCGCCTACTCTGCAGTGATGGCGAACCTGTGGCCGCGTGCCCACAGAAAGGGCCCCGCGTGCCACCTGTGGCACGCGTGCCATAGGTTCGCCATCACTGAGTTAGATGAACCTATGTAGACAGCTAGGGAAAAGAAGAGGGTCATACACAATGCACAAGGAGGTGTCAGTGTACATCCATATCATGTGAGCAATAAATCATTTATGATTTCTAAATCCTCATATTTTGTGGTTTTATCTGTCTTTTCAAGATTTATAGCTTGTGTAGAATGGAGGTGCACCTTTACCCCCTTTGCATTTTATGTGTTACTTTTAAGCATTTAAAGAGCACTTAAAGGACCACTATAGTGCCAGAAAAACAACCTCATTTTCCTGGCACTATAATATTAATAGGTCACCCCCACCCGCCGGGCTGAAGTGAGAGGAATTGGTTAATCCCTATACCTTTCTCCAGCGCCTGGGGACTCTCCTCCTCCTTTGGACTTCAATCGGCTGAATGCGCATGCGCAGCACGAGCCACCCTCAATGCTTTCCTATGGACGCTGGCGTCTTCTCACTGTGAAAATCACATGAGACAGCCACTAGAGGTTGGATTAACTCTAATGTAAACATAGCAGTTTCTCTGAAACTGAGGGACCTGGCACCCAGACCACTTCATTGAGATGAAGTGGTCTAGGTGCCTATAGAGGTCCTTTAACTATTCTAGTATTTGCTAAAGCACAAAATTGATAATTATAAAGGAGGATGAGGATGCCCTAATACCTAGTGGGAATTATAACGATACATTCGATCATTGAGGTGAATAATAAGCCCTGAAAAAGGTATTATCATTTACATATTTGTTTCTAGAATAGACACCCGTCAATTTATAAAATATAGGCAACAATATGAAATGGTATTCGGTTTTGGCAGTAATTTTGAATAAGGACTGTGAAATACTCTATAAAGATTAGTAAGGAATATGTGGCAACACAAAACACTGCACCTCACGTGTGAATTATTGTCTCTTGCATGTGACATTATATATTATTCTGATTTGTTTAAAGTCAGAATAGGGCATCATGAAAATGAGTTAGAGCTGCTCACTTAGATGTAAAATGCAATTTGTGAAAATGCAAATATTGGTATCTTGCTGTATGTACCCAGTAAGATCCCAACAAAAGCACATTCCATCGTGTTTAGTAAGTGGTTAAGGGACAGGTGTTAGGTACAAACAGAAGGTTATACACCATTGTGCTTGGTAGACATCACCAAAGCTGACCATAAAACCAATACACGAACAAATCAAAATCAATTACTTAAAGTGGCTGTCATCTGAAAATATTTTATGCGCCTTCATATAGCTTTTTAAAATCTGTCTATGCCAAGCTTAAATCAGTTCAGTATTTTTAAACAGAGATGAAATAAAAGATTTGAAACTTACCGGACCATATTGGTTACAGACTACAGTTGGCTGATGACAATATGTATTCTCTGGTTCTAAAGGTTCAGCAATTGTGATGCAATTCGAAAATTGCTGCCACCATACAAACATGTGACAAATTTTTAAAAACCATATATACTCGTGAATAAGTCAAGAAATTTTAGTCCTAAACTTTATTTTAAAAACACAGAGTTGACTTATCCACGGGTCAGTGCTAGTTTCGATAGAATTTTGTAGATTGAATGTCTACTCCTGAACGCCGTTCTCCTAGCTGGTCGGGAAGTCGAACGGGCAGGGGTACAAGTTTCAGCGAGGTTAGTGTGCTTGTGTAGCAGACTCAGAGATCCATGCTGTTGACGACCATGTACCGCTGCCTGCGTTTGGGAGACGAACACGCTCGTTCGTATATACGAATGGTGGCCACCCAAGGGGTGGTCGGTGGTTACGAGGTGCTAACAAGGGGGACCACACAGAGTCTGTTCGGTAACCGAATAAAAGGGGAACAATTCCATTTGAAAGCCGTACCCTCGACTTATGCACGAGTCATAGCATATTTCACAATTGTTGGTCAAAAAACTGCACTCGACTTTTACACAAGGTCGACTTATAGATGAATATATACGGTAGTATTTCCAGCTTAACGTACTATAGCATAATTACATGAAAATAATATTAATCTATTCGCATTATAGGAAACATCTAGGCCAAGACACGTACATTTTTAATGCATATAATAAAAAAAATGGCATTGACCGATATTTGCAAAGATATTTCCTAGGGCCTAAAAATATTACATTTACTTAGTTATAGAAATGGCCTCTTTAGTTATTTACGATCCAACCACTTTTTGTCAAGAAACTTACTTTCTTGTTAATATTGGGCATTGTCCAAATCAAGTTTTTTCTCTTAGAAGCTTTAAGCACAAATATTAAATCCAAAGCTGCTCAAAGAGAGGTAGTTTTATTGAAATTTAAAAAGTTAAATTTTCAAAATAATCATTCTTTAGGGCTGTATTCGTTCTGTTTTTAATTATTTTTCTGCTCAGTAAAATTGTGATTTTTATATAAAACCATTGTGGATTAATATTGTAATCAAGCTAAGTTAACCACTGGATGAGGTCGATTGGAGTTATACTCCACATGAGCTGTTCAGCAGTTGATTGACTCACTATTTTATTTAAGCAGGTGTTTCTTAATTCCCATCAATCACAGCCAAGATTTCAGTAATCATGAAAGGAATTTGTCCAGCAAAGGCAAACAACTTCTTCGAACCTCAATTCCCAATTAGTTTTAGCTCCTTTGGATTTCTGCACCTAGGTCAAAACCTAGACCATAACCCATTTTTTTCCCCCTTTATCAAGGAGTTGAGAGTTACATTTCCTGAGAGCCAGGAGCTTTGACACTGTACAGTATCCGACACCAAACTAAGGGCAGACTGTTCAAGGCATCTGAGGGTTAGCATGCTGCATGTGTTGACACCAGATGCAAAAGTTGCACAAAGCTGATATTGCCAAAAAGCCGATGACTGAACGAATGGGTGGGTATGGAGTACTTGGAGCAGGGCTGCTCAATAAGAAGATTCCCACATGTTTTAGAACGACAACTCCCATGATGCGTTGCATGCCTTTAGAATGCCTTAGCACAATGGAAGCTGTCGTTTTAAAACATCTGGGGATCTACTTATTGGGCAGCCCGGTCTTAGAGAGTATATATTATATATATATATATACACATACATATACACATATATATATATATATATATATATATATATATATATATATATATATATATATATATATATATACACACACATACATACACACACACACACACACACACACACACACTCTCTCTGAAACTTGAGCCAAAAATATTAAATAAATTGAGGCACAAGTCAGTTATATGGAAGAGGCCCTATGCTTGATTTACACAGATTAGAAGAGCGATCAAAATAATAGCCAGCATATTAAAATAGTGCATCATGATTATCGGTATACCTTTACAGCAAGAGGATCCACTGGATCAGAAAAGACATATTTGAATTATTACTATTATTAATAAAAAAAAAAAAACAAAAAAACATGAAACATTTTGGCAACTTTTTTTTTATTATAATGAAAGTAAGAAAACAGATGTACATTGTATAAAGCCATTTTGACTTTCAGAAGTAAAAATATATATTTTTTTAAAACATTACTTGTGGGCTACAATTGTATAGTACTACAAGAATACAAAAACAGAACCAATTTCAGCAACATATATAGATAGATTTTTTTTAATTAAGAAAACAGACTTATATAATTTTTTTTCAGTACACTTGACATTCAGAATAAAAAAAAAATTCAGTAAAATCGAATTAAACAAACATTGATTCTTGCAAATATTACACTTGGTATCCATTTGTAAACATCACTTGTGGCCAACATTACTAAATTGTGTAGTAGTTCAAGACTTCAGTGCAATTCTAAACGTTGTTAAAATAGCTGCGTGTATTATTTGCTAAAAACAGTGTGTTTTAACTAGTTGACAATGGTCTTACAAAATATTGGATAAAAGAGCCAAGTTAGAAGAAAATAATAATCAAATTGGCCGAAATGAAGATTTATTTTTTCAGTTCAGCTTTTTTACAATAAACTTTGAAAGCAAGCTATTAACTTACTACAACTCACATTTAGTGAAAAAAACCCAAAACATCAAAGCCATCATTGTGAATTAGCACTGAGCAGAAAACCAGGTCCCCAGTATTACATTTCATAAACACAAGTGTAAACTTTGTTTAGTAAAGAATAACTAGAAAGACAAATAATGTCTCTTTCCTAATAGATATAATCTGATATTCTAAAAAGGCAAATACACAATTCACCTCTTAGTCCCTCTAAGTCGTGAAGTGCTTTCGTATTGATAGAAATGCTAAGAGTTTGCATACCCATGAGATCTAATGCAGGACGAATTTATAACAATTTATTTGTAAGTTGCTTTATACCACCAACAAATATTTAAAAGTAGACTCCGGCCACCAATACTACATCATTTAGTTTTGGGACACTATGGTTACCCGAGCCACTACAGCTTAAAGGACCACTATAGTGCCAGGAAAACAAACTTGTTTTCCTGGCACTATAGTATTAATAGGTCCCTCCCATCCTCATGGCCCCCCTCCTGCCGGGCTGAAGGGGGAGGAAGGGGTTAATCCCTTACCGTTCTCCAGCGCCGGGCTCCCTCAGCGCTGGGGACTCTCCTCCTGCTTCCGAAGTCATTGGCTGAATGCGCATGCGCGGCAAGAGCCGCGCGCGCAGTCATTCAGTCCACAGGAAAGTATTCTCACTGCTTTCCTATGGACGCTGACGTCTTCTCACTGTGCAAATCACAGTGAGAAGCGCGGAAGCGCCTCTAGCGGCTGTCAATGAGACAGCCACTAGAGGCTGGATTAACCCATATGTAAACATAACAGTTTCTTTGAAACTGCTATGTTTACAGCAGGCAGGGTTAATCCTAGATGGACCTGGCACCCAGACCACTTCATTAAGCTGAAGTGGTCTGGGTGCCTATAGTGGTCCTTTAATGTAGTGGTTCTAGTGTCTGCAGTTTGTCCCTGCAGGCTTTTTAATGTAGATTCTAGATTTTCAGAGAAAAGGCAGTATTTACATTACAGCCAAGAAACATCCTCTAGTGGCAGTCACTCAGACGACCACTAGATGGGCTTCCAGGGTCACAGTGTGCAGCACCTATGTTCAGCGTCTCAATGCATCTCTTTAAGGAGATGCTGGCTGGCAAAGCCTGGTATTTTTGACTGCCATGCGCAATAGCCTCCCAGCGCATTACTATGGAATTGCATTGGATTGGCTGAGATCATCCAACCTGATGATCTCAGCCATGGAGACACGGACAGCTGTGGTGAGGGAGAAAAAAAACCAAGTAAAAACACCTTTCCCATGTGATGCAAGAGGAGTCTGTCACCTAAATAGTTAAACACTAATGTTAGGTTACAGGTTTCTGTTCTTGACACTATGGTGTTCATTTAATATGCTGTATTAATGTTTTGCCAAATGTTACACCATAAGCCAGTCTCTCTAGACACACACCCTCTTCACTTACGAATGCCTCCTTACTAAATGTAGGCCAACAGCTCAGCTACTTACAGTACTGAATGATCTGACCTACAAAACTACCTGCATTAGACGGAGAGGATACCCGGGGAAGCATATAGTAAGGATATCACTACTGGTTTGCAGTTTCTCTGACTGGGATGTGAATTAAAAGCCGCTCACTCAGTGCTGTTAGGGGTTGAGACTGTGTACACACCTTGTGACAAGATAGACTTTCTGACATGAGGGGTCATTGCTAAGGAGGTTGGCTTATGGTGCAGCATTCTGCAAAACGTTTATACATTTTGTGCAAAAGCTATAAAGATTTGAGCATGCAAAGAAATACAGCATATTAATAAGGCCAAAATCTATCAAATGCATTAAAGTTGTATTGGTGCTCAGAGTCTCCCTTTAACTTCATGCGCTTATCCCCACCACCAGAAACCCTATTTTCCTTACTCCTACCTCCAGCATAATTTCCTTGCAAGACGCAGAGACACTGACTCAAATCGGTAATACATAGTACAATAGCCAAGCGATAAACATGGAGATTGGAGTCTGTCACTGCCACTGACACGGCCACTAACAACGAATATGGACTCTAGTTCAACTCAGAAAAAGGCACCAGACTTATTTACAGCATACTGGGCCATAAGCAGCATGGCAGACTCCCTACATGTCTGGCAACAATGACAGGCACTTAATGGGTGTCCAAAACTGTGGATTCTCACATTCATTTGAAAGTATGGTATTAAATAGTACAGTAGTGATAACCAATTATCTATTAACACAGGAACACACTAATATATATAAAATATATATGAGAAGCACAAAACAAGATTTTTGGTTTGCTAGTATCAATAATTTTTTGGACCAACGTTTCGATTACAAAATAAACTTTCTTCAACAACTACAGGTAATTACATACTGTAACCTGAGTATGTACACTGTATTGTGTATATATTATATACATACAATATCTTTTTTAAGGAATGTCCTTTGGTTTTAATTTTGCCAACTGTTCAATTCCGGTGTATGTATTTATATCACAGCTGTGCCGTCTTGTGATTTGAAGAGAGAATTGTGTTGGTTTATTTTTTTTTTTTTTTTAAATAACATCTGAAGTTACGAGTTAACTGCCTAATGTGTTCTGTTTAAGTAGAAAAGTGAACTAGTAAAAATTGGTGTCATAAGGGCCTTTTCTATTGTGTGGGTGTTCATTTCAAATTACCCTATATGTCACAGATGCTGGGGACCAAAAAAAAAAAAATGTAAAATGTAAAAAAAGTAAAAAAAAAATAATTAAAAAAAAATGTCTGTTTTTGGCTGTCATTATTAGAAAGGCAACGGGTGGTTTTATATAAAAATCTTGGGTTAAAAGCCAAGGCATTTGGCAGTAACATGAGTGTATTCAGTTTACATAGGTCAACTGCCTCGAGGGCATGGACAATTTTAGGACTTTTTTCTGTTCTGTAAAATATGCCCTTCCCACCAAAAACCTTTTTGTTTTATTTGTTAATTTAACGCTGTTATGTGTTTGATTAATGTATTCCTACCACTTTTTTACCCAAATAAGAAAAATGTTTCTTTATTTTGTGTTTAGAACATAAGGCACTAATGTTGATTTGGGTCATTTTTATCCTGTGTTGCTAGCTACAGTACAGATCTCCAAATTCACCAGTTCAAAGACAACAGAATGTTTCCTGCACCAATTGAAAGGCAGCCCGAAGTACAAACCTTTAGTTACAGCAACTGTATGGAAGCCTTAGCTGGAATACTTCCATGACAATCACACAGTACTTCTACTTTTTGGCGGTCTCCTTTAAGGTCGACTTGTTGTACTTTTGGCCGATTCCATAAGGAACGTGAGCTGCAATTGTACCAAGCTCTTGAGCACCCTCAATGTGGAACATCTGATCATCAAAAAACAGATGAGGACGGATCTTCTCCAAGATGGGACCTTTTGGAGCACCTGCGAGAAACAGTGCCTCATCGACCTCCAAACCCCAACTACGTAGGGTTTTCAGTACTCTGGCTCCGGAACTGGCCGCACTCCTGGCGGTTACCAGATATGTCCTTATTGGGCAATTCATACGTGCACCTTTGGCATAGAACTTCTTCTGCAGCTTACCCAAGGCTACCAAAAAGCATTTTAAAGGTCCCTGGTCAACAAGGGGAAAAAAAAATAAAATAAATAAATAGTTAGTTGTAGCAAGTTGTTAGTTACTAAATCATACATAACTTATTTTTCTAAAGCAAACATATGAAAAAGTAACTCTTAAAATCAAATCATATATGTAAATGTCATGTTTGTTGACACAACCCATTTATATGTCAGTACATTGACTGCGCAATCATTCCTGGCACTGTCATTCTATCGAGTTTAAAATCCATAACAATTTTTCTCTGGTGTTTTGAGAATGTTCAATAACCAAAATAGCACTATTTTGGAGAAAGTCAGCCACGTTATACATGCTGTGCTAAATGCAATCAGGATGTTGTGAAAACAGAACACGGATTAAGTGGTTTAAGCATGAAAAGTTAAAAGCCAATTGCTTTATTTGTTCAGATGCACAATGGCTGACAGCCTGACACTGTGCTGTCATTCAAACATGCCTGTGTTATTGTACATGGAACACAAAGGGGGCTGTGTGCTGGTTCCAGAGAAAACCCATTACTCCGTGTATGAGCACAAGTAGCATCCAGTAGAGAACGTATTAACGTTAACCCTCTATGGCCCAGAGAGTTGAAAAAAAAAATGCAACGTTTAAGTAAATTTGTAGTTAAAACTGAACATTTATGAGTTCTAAAAAGGTTAGAACGAGATTGTACCCTTACAGGTTTATTCATTCAATTTAAGTTCAAAACATTCAAACTGGAAACATTTGCATAGTCTGTTATATCTGCAGTTCGGTTACTTTGGTCGTAAATTTGGAATAACCCCCCTTTTTTATTAAATTCTTTATTTTCAATGACAGAGATGACATAATATCAACAGTAGTATGGCTTTTGCAAAAGCCAAAGTTTGGTTCAGACCAATTTGGCTGTTTGTTACAGAAAGAAGACCATATAGAGTTAAGGCATGTCCTAGAACTTGCTGTGGTACTGTGGCTTATATGCATTCTGCCATGGTTTTTGACCTTTTATTGAGAACTTAATTATATCAAAGACCCTCTCGAGCTGTTTGAGTTGTTCACATGCATCTGTGTCCGTGTGCGCCCCCTTTTGGCTCTTCGAATCAAACCTTCCAGTGTTCCCGTCCCATTGTCCACCACTGGTCCCCACCGGGCCACTAGCCAAGACTCCTTTCTTGGCTCCCGAGGGGCCATGACCTCAGCCAGGGCGCACCACTGAGAGCCTTGCCATGGCATAAGCTGCCGGTGGGCTGCCCTTCCTTGGGATTCTGGGTCACACGGCTACGTGTTGTTGTGCCCTGTGAGTGCACTGTTCAGCCTAAATCACGGTGCTTTAGAGGTAAGTTAGAGGAATAATTGTGAAAGAGAGGAGAAGATGAGGCAAGGAAACGGAAAGGTGGAAAAAATAAAATAAAATGCCACGCCGATGCCCACCACCTCGTCCCCCACTCATAGTGAGGTTTCTTTATACTCCAGCCAGGGTTCCCATGTTTAAAAAAAAAAAAAAAGGCACAGTGCGCCTCACCCATTATGTAGTGGTCTTCAATTTTTGTAACCACGTCCATCGAGGACGGTGCTTCCATCCTCAGCAATGCAGCTGCCAACACTCTTTTGGCTGCCAGTGCTATCATGTTCAGCAATTTTTGTGATTTGTTCGGGAGGCCCTCTATTGGGCGCGACAACAGGAACGTCAAGGGGACTTCTGGAGAACTGCTGCTGCCAGGTCTCGGACCATCCAGTAACTGTAATTTGTGGCAGTCCCACCACATATAGATGTATGTGCCTCTGTGTCCACAGAGCCTCCAGCAGAGGTCTGTCAGATTGCGACCTATCCTACTTAGGAATACTGGAGTGACATGCCAGCAGAACATGGTTTTGTACATTTGTTCCTGAGAGAGGACACAGAGGGAGATCTTTGATGTAACTTCCCAAACGTCCTGCCACTCATCCCCCTCCAGGGTCTCCCCAAGGTCTGATTCCCAGTGTTCTATATAGTTTAGCTCCCCTCATACCGAGGTTTTTTTTTGTGAAGTGAGAATAGAGGCGCGATATTAAACCTTTTTTGTATTCCCCTTCATTACACAAATGTTCGAATGTGGTACGGGTGGCTACGGACGCCTCCCTAATGCCCGGCTGGAGCGCGAAGTTGTGTATTTGTAGGTATCTGAAGAAGTCTGACGGTCTTCGGTGGGTCCCCTCCTGCAGACTGGCAAATGTTATCACTGAGTCCCCCTGCCATAGAAGGTGTATTCTTTGTAGTCCAGCGGTTTTAAGGTTTTTGAAGGCTTGTGGTCCCATGTCTAGGGGGGGGAACTGTCTTGTGTAGGATTGGCGTCATTGGGGACTAGGCTCTGGCCAGGGAGTATTTGTTGCCCAGGCGGTCCCAGATATCTAAGGAGTTTAGGATTGATGGGCAGTGAATAATCCTTTTTAAAGAATATATTTTGGTAAAATAAAATGGGGTACGTGTAAGTTATAGTAATGTCAGATAGAATTTTTTTTCTGTTTCTTTTACACGGTTGTCTGACTCACGACTGTATATATCAAAACAAAGTTATAGACAACACTGAGAAAGGATAAAACCTCATTACCTGGCCTTCGATTAGTCCTGACTCTGTTATAAACACATTTTAGCTCCCCTTTGTAATGGCACATAAGACAGACCTCATTCATAAGAACAGACCAGAACTGAATGCCAGGCAGACAACCTCTTCCAAAAACACACAGCAGCCCCAGACAGTCATTTCAGCTCTCTTTGGATCTTATCAGTTAGGTGCAGCCAATACCCATATAGGCACAGTGAGCAAAGAGCTTCACATCTGAATCAGGGATGGAGAATAAAGCGTTTCAACGGAGAAGGACCATAAAAAGGTACTGTCCCTGCACAGACTGAAGAGAGGAGCTCACAGGCAGCTGACAAACTTCAGGAATGCAGAACTATAACTAATACAACCAGAATGCTTTCTCCTAGCTCCTGGCTCTGCACTGCAGCAATATTAGCCTCTCACCACGCACAGAAAATCACCTGCTCCGGATTCACACAGCAGAACGAAACGTACACAGAGCCTGAATGAACACTCCCCCTTGCAGCTGACAGGAATACAATTTACCAGCACTTAAATTTGAAAAGTACACAAGTACAAAATTGAAAAGTACACAAAATGAAATCTTTACTCATCTATGAAAATAAACTTATATTGCCTAAAAGGGACTCCACTGCTCCGAAAAAATAATAATCACTGTTTAGTAGATATACCCTCAATAAAACAATGCATGTAATTATACGTTAAAAACAGCTTGCGAATCTAGTCTGTAGCCTTTGCATATACCCCCCTTCTAAACTCGCCCAAACTTTCTGTGGCTGTCCAACCACAGACATCCCAATGCAGTTGAATTCATACAAGGCAGGTGCTCTAGGCAATTGCTGCCTCTCAAGTTTAACTCCACCGAACAAATCAAACCAGGAAGTAACAGGACCAGTTGTCTGATTCACAATCGGTGGGGTGGGGAATGGTGGTTACCAACATGGTAATTTATAAAAGTGCTAATTTATTGAAATCTGCATGTTTTGCAAAAAAAAAAAAAAAGAAAAGTGGACACACTCTTCACACATAAAACACTTCAGAAAGTTGAATTGCCCTTTCTGGAGTGTCCCTTTAAGTCGGCTAGCTTTTAAGTCATGGCTTGACAAATCTGTTTAAAATATAGGAGCCAGCTAAAAAAAAGTCAGGAGCCAGTCATTTTCAACGAGAAAACGCAAATCTTAAAGGGACACTATTGTCACGAGAAGCACTACAGCTTGATGTAGTTGTTCTGGTGTCTATAGTCTGTCTGTCCCTGCAGGCGTTTCAGTGTAAACACTTTACAATGCTGCTTAGTAACACTTCTAGTGACAGTCACTCAAACGGCCACTAGAGTCTCCTGGGTCACTGCTGCACCATGTGCAGCACCCAGGTTCAGTGTCTCCAAGCTCTGCATGGAGGTGCTGAATGTTCCTAATAGAGATTAATTTAATGCATCTCTATAAGGAGATGCGGATTGGTACATTTGCTGCGCATGCACAAAATCCTCACAATGTTTTCCTAAGGGAAAGCATTGGTTTAGCCGAGATCAAAGACTGATAATTTCAGCCATGGCAAAACTGGCACTGAGTGGGAAATAGGGAAAAAAGGGGAGTAAATACACCTTCCTCATGAGATCAGAGGGGGCAGGTACCTAAATGCGCACACACACACACACTTAAGCTGACAACAGGCTCGCACATTTTTATTTTTATTGAAACCTTTGGGAGAGCTGAGTGGGTCTTTTCCTGGGGTCCAGTGGGGCTGCTCTCTGTGTGCGAAGGAGCAGTACTCTGCCTGTAGCTTCCTCGCGCTTTGTAATGATGCCAGGGCCGGAATGACATCATATTCCGGGTCCCTGCCTCATTAGACAGCGCGAGGGAGCATAGTGCAGGCAGAGTACAAATTCCTGATTTGTTTATAACTATGACCACTAACGTGTCATTTCTTCACAATGGTTCCTATGAACAGTGAAAAGGGCAAGTGGTTTAGGGGATGTGATGTTATCTACATAATGTCCTGCATTCATTAATAGTGTTACCATGAGAGGCAGAATACTTAAAAAAATATTGTAAAAACAAATGTAATTGCAAAATAACATGACAAAGAGAAGGCCCTGTGTCCTCTAATAACTGCAAATACAATAACAACAACTAACCAGCTTCCATAATTAAAACAGATTTATGAACAAAAACCTTATAATTTTCACAGAAATAAATAGTTTGTCTATGTAAATTGCAGGTTAAATTGTTACTTACGATTCCTTTTTGAAATGAGAGAGCCACTGGATGACTGAAATCATTAAATTGGTCAGCAGTCACTCATGCTGAGCTTGTGAAAGGATTCTTTAGGAGCTGAAACCTTGCTGAACTCTGATCAGTAACAAAGTCTGCCAATTTGTTTGTTATGGAGAGCAAAGATACAGACATAGTGACTCCCAATGACGATTGGTAGCTGAATACGGTCGATAAATAAATAAGCAGACAGTAGGAGACCCTTATATTACAAACAGTCCTATATAGACAGAGATTAAAGAGTTTGGACACTGAGGAAGGGCCAACGATAGACAGCACTGGATTGGACACACAAGGAACCAAAATGGAGCACCCTGGTCAAAAGAGCTTACAGTCTATTGGAAATATAATTACTGTGATCTCTTTACCTGTGCCAGTGGTTTATTCTCAAATGTCTTCTCATGTTCGAAAAAGGAGTCCAAGCCCCTTTCTTTGACAATTATTTCTGATTCATCGGAAAAAAGTACAGCGTCCCCATCAAATGCCACTCTTAGCTCCTTGTCTGGGAGAACCAGGTTTTTCTTTCCCATGAACATAGTGGCCGCTGCAATACCTGCAATTTACAAATAAATACATTTTTGCAGCTCAATGTAAATACTGAGGGAATGGAGATTGAGAGTGATTAGAGAAAGGTAGCAATATAGAGGAAATTAAGGAAGTGGGAGAGAAAATCAGAACACAAGAACACAACTTGGAAGTTAGAGAATATTTTTTTTTTTAAAAGATGGGGGTCTGGGAAATCTTTGGGTCCGGGGACTGCATCCTCCAGTCTTTAAAGGGATACTATAGGCATTAAAACAACTTTAGCTTAATGGAGCAGTTTTGATGTATAGATCATGCCTCTGCAGTCTCACTGCTCAATCTGTCATTTTAGGAGTTAAATCACTTTATTGTTTACACAGCAATGTAAAAGGTTCCATTGCAGATTTTACATACATCTTTGGTGGCTGTCTTCCTGACGGCCATCAGAGGCACTTCCCAGTAAGAAGCATGTCAGATTCCTAGAGCAGCATTTGAGGCTGTGTTTTGCCGCGCATGTTCACTAGCCTCTCTATAGGGGGCAGTGAGCATGCACAGCAATCTCCGCGCCATTATGCATCTCCTCATAAACATGCATCGACTTATGGGAAACATTCAGCGTCTCCATGCAGAATTTGGAAACACCAAACATCGCTCTTGCAATAGCATTTTCTTCTTTCAATTAGCTAGTTTCCATTGCATGTAATATATTTTATTACTCGTATTATAACGGTCATTAAAGTTAAAAAATAACCTTTGTAGAAGAAAATACTTTTTAAATGCCCTTTGGATTTTAAAAGAATAGTGCTGTATGATGTAGAGTCTGCTTTTTCACCTGACTTGTCCCTTTCTGCAGGATGGAAAAAGCAAAGAAGATCAGCTAGTGTTTTTCCTTCAAATCTTGCAGTGAGATTTAATTCTGATTGGAAATTCGAGCTTTAATTGTTAGATCAAACATAGGTTTCCATGATCTGCTACTGCTTTTATCACAATGAATGTAATCTGTCTCTACTGATACCGACCACCACTTACGGTTTACCATTATGCATATTGGAAAAAAAGGTGCATTTTCCAATTACAAGCTAAGGCAACCCCAGCAGGAAACTATTAAAAAGTTTTGCTCAGCACCTGTTATAGTCTACACAAATGTCCCTTTAGGTTTTATTCACTAAACAGTGAATGTCAGGCCTTTTTTATTGCTATTTGGTTTTCTATTCACTACACGTCTAATTAACATACAATGCACTATGCTGAGGATAAAGTAGAGGCACACAATATGCCTGCACAGTCTTAGTATAAAAACAAAAAGATTAAACCTGAGCTGCAGAGGCTCCCACCATTTTCCAGTGTAGAAAGAAATGGAGTTCTGCGCATTCAGTCAGTTTGTGCACACCCACGTGCTACTACAGTTTGAGGACACTATTCAAACAAATGTTTTTGGCTAATGTCCTTTAGCATTGAAAAAGGGCTTGTGCCTGAAATGTTTGTTTGAATTGTGTCCTCAAACTGTAGTAGCACCTGGGTGTGCACATACTAACTGGATGCACAGAACTCAATTTCTTTCTCTGTTTGCGAATATACAATGCACTTCTCTCATCTGTGGTACTGAAAGGTGAAATAATATAAAGAAATATATTATAGAATATATATATATATATATATATATATATATATATCTGCATGTGATAAGAAAGAGACAATCAGCTCTTTCTTTTAAAAAAAGAACCACAATAATATCAGTAGAAGCCTGTGTAGCATGTGATGAGTTGGAAGGTAGGGGAACTACAAGTGGCCCAAACCCCTTTCTTCGCTATAAGGGCAGATGGGTGACGATTTATAAAGGGTAAATGGGGTCAGAAGTTGACGATCTTCCTGGTCCCCCTAAGATGTCCACGATGGGCCAGGAGATGCAAAGTCTCATAGTAATCATTAACATGAAAGTCTTATGGAAATTGAGACTTGCCCATCAGAGACCTGAGCATTAGATGGCTTCAAAGCTAAGCAATCACAGCACAGTTACGGAGGATTCAAGGTAGAAGAGGCCTATATAAAGGTCTTAGCTGTCAAAGGTCAGTCTGTTCAGAGCTCAAAAGCCAGCCAAGCTGGAAGGTGATGACATTTTTTTGTCGCAAAATAAATTTTTTCAGCTCATTTCTTTTGTGATCTGGGTACTATTTCTTATATTTGGTTTTGAAGTATTAGAATATTATAGATTTTATTTGGTCTTCAATCAAACTTGCATTATTTACATCATCTGGTCCTATTGGTTTTAACCCTTCGAGAGCCTCAGCATCTTGTGGAGAGGGGAACAGTAACTCATTACTACGTAGATTTTTAGGTGCTACGCACTATGCACTGTCACTGTGGATGCATAGTTGGTTATTTGAGACAGGGGACTTACCTTCTTGAATAGCTTCCTGAACTTTCTCAGAGTCTGCCGATAGGTACAGATTAGTTAGATAGGCTTTCAAGTAACCAATTGGACTTTTACCTCCCGTCATGCAGAAGCGCTCAATATTCAAACCTAAGACAAGAGTAACATCCGTAAATGTTGAGCAGTAAATTCATTTCAGAGAACTTTTGAATATTTAATGGCGTCTATTGAAAAGAAATTCACTAGTTACTCTCACATATCTAATCTGCGCAAATCGTGCCCGATTTGCTTTTACATCTTTGCACTGCTGTGCAGTTAGAAGGTTCACAGTTCAGACTCCACTGAGTAGATTGAGAGGCTTCTGATTGGCTACAGTACTTCCGAGCATATGAAATGCTCAAAGCTTTTGATGCAATCTTTTTTTTACATTTTTTTTAATTTATTTTTTATGTGCGTTATCCATTCTGTACAATGCATTAAATGGGTAATTTCCTGCTCGGAGTGTCCTTTTAATCTTTTTATTTGAAGTTGGTATCTTGTATGAAGATTTCTAAGTATTTACATAAGTCTGGATACAAACATCAGAGAATTGAAAATTTGCGGTTTAATGCGGAACCATCACATCTTTGGAAATTACACCACTGAATGAAACACTCTAGCTTGAGTTAATCAAAGGTCTGTCTTCATATTGATGCACAATAAAAGGGAGAGCCTTTTTTTTTTTTTTTGTTTACTTATTCTGTACATATTGAATAAATGTGCATATGTGAGGTGTGAAAAATATAATGTAGAAAAGCACATCTCTTTGTTCTGCAACTGGGCGCAATCTTATCTGCCTGTCAGCCTTTGTTATAAACTCTATTCTTTGAACTGGACAAACAGCATAGAGAAGAAATGAAGTAATCTTTCGATTTCTCCTCTTCATTTTCAATGTTATCCCAAGTTCTGTCTTTTAACAAATCTTAAATAAAAAAAGAAACAAAAAGGTTAACATAAGTTATATCTGATTTTTAATGTTTTATTAAAAGTTATAAAAGCTTAAATTTGGCCTAGTTACAATATAATAGTTCTAAAAAAAAAATAAAAAAAAAAATATTTAACTTTTTTTAGAACCAATATATTGTAATGACGTACACATTCCAATTTAAGCTTTTAAAACTATTTAGTGGAAAGGTTGAAGATTTTTCTTCTCGTAGACTGCTGCTCCTATTAATTTATATCTTTCTACGGTTTAACTAATTAATTTAGACACAGGTTCACAACCCCCCCATTTTTTGCCTCTTTGCACTCCACCCTGCTTTTGAAATTCCAGTAATAGTTCCCCCGTTACCATTTGACAATCACAATCCAATCTAGACCTGGCACGGTTTCTTGTTTCTTTATACTGACTGCCAGAAGCAAATGGCAGACCTTATAGCAAAGACTCACGATAGAGGCACTCCGTTTCCAGATGGAACTCTCCCCTTCTAAACCACCCAGACTTTCTGTGGCTGTCCAATCACAGACTTTGCAATGCAGATCAATGAGAATTCATGCAAGGCAGGTGCTCTGGGCAATTGCTGCCTCTTGAGTTTAGCTCCACTGAGCTATCAAAACCAGGAAATAACAAGAACGGTAGTCTAGTTGACAGCCAGAGGGGCGTAATCATTTATAAAATTTATAATTTATAAAAGTGTCAATTTCTATTAAACTGCACTTTTTGTAAAATAAAAAAATAAAAAATAAAAAAAAAAAACCACACAACAGAGGACACACTCTTCATTCACACAAAGCTCTTCAGCAAGCTAAAATGCTTAAGGGGTCTGGAGTGTCTCTTTAAATATAGGGAATCAGTAAATATTACAAATTATGGGAAAAGACCGTTGATTCTGTCTAAAATGTAAGTGTAGAATTTGGAAACAAATTACAGAATGACACATGATAAAAAAAATGCTGTGGATTAAATTATTCAAAAAGATCTGCAAATATTCTTTAAAAAAAATTATATTATAAACCGCAATCTATGGAAATATCTGCCCAAAATATCCGAGTTGCAATAAATAAAGTTGTTTTTTTTAAGTCTCGCTGCAATGCTATGATTCCCCTATGGTACAAAGAACTCATGGCCCGATAATGAATAGAATACATTTTTCATAATGTACTGCAAACTAGTGTAATGTAACCCATTGGTATTAGGTTTTAGATACTCCATTTAACATAAAATCACACACTTTTTTTTGGCAACAATTTTAAATAATTTTTTTGCTGAACATATGCATATCCGCAGATAACTTTATGAAGAAAAAAAAAAAAATATATAACTAATGTTCTGTCCTTCCAACATTACACAAAAATAAAAGAAAAAAACTACGCTTTAAAAGAAATCATTTGAATCCTCCATATGCCATTAGGCCTCATTGAAAAGGCTGTAGTTTATTCTATCTTTAACTTGAAATGGAAACATTTGGGCTTTGTTATTCTCAGAGACTTGACATAGGTGTCATGATGAAAGTCTTTCGCAAGACCACCCTGGGGGCAGCTGAATATCCAGATTACCCCCTCCCATAGCGCTATCTGTTGACCTTAAAACTAAAGGAGAGATTGCTTCACAGCTGCCCCTCGGTGGTGAGGATTTGCTTTTAACTTCCAACACGTCCTGCTGGCAAGAAACAGGAGGGGGGTGTCAGTGATCATTACTCACAGCCTTAAATATCTTGGCTTAATCCCCCTGTTAGACAACTTTATCATGAGAGATTCTGAATGGGGGTTTATGACATGAGTGGGATGCATGCAGAAGAGAGGCCTGTCATTCCACTGTGATTCTAATATGACAAGTTAAGTCTACTGCTATGGGATCATGCATTTGTTGAAAGGTGAAAAATTTGCGTTGTCACCCACACTCTGACATAAGCAAATAAACACAGCCACATTAAAAGGAGCTGTCCGAAGCAGGGTTAGACTGAATAAATGCTTCCTTTACCCCATAGTAGCGAGTATCCACACAGCGCTGTTTATTTTACTTACCATAGTGATTGATGCTGTTTATGAGCCTTACGCCAACTTGGGCATGATTATTTGTCATCAGAACAATATCAAAGAGTTCTTCGCTATCGGGATACAGTTCTCTAAGCTGTTTGTTAACCTCTTCCACTGCCTGTAAGAAGAAAAGAAAAAAAATACATAAAAAGGTTTGGGTGATGGGAAATGGCTGTTCACAAAGCAGGTCAATTATATATATTAAAAGAGTACTGTGATGTATCCAAATGTGCTGTTTTTTTAAGAGGTTTTTTGTGCTGTGTTGGTTTGTACGGTCTCAACACCATAACCACTGTTTATTGTGCTTAGAGGGAATATGTACTGTGGTTTTGAGGTGTGACTACAATCAGGGGATTCCACAACACTCAAAAATATTATATGTGAAGGTTTCGCCTTCCTCATTATGAGTAAAAAATATCTGTAGACAGGATTCAGTCATGCCAAATGCCGTTAACCCTTTCAGCACCACCAAATTAACAAGCATCAAACGTTACCGTGATGTACGTACATTCTGCCTAAGCGATAACTATGGAATGGGGAAGTATTGAGCAGGGGGAAATTTTAGAACGTTTTTTTGGATCCTTGTAAATTGTGAAATACACACAAACTGGAGCAGTGATTAGTGGCATGTTGACAAGCAAACAGCAAGATTTAGGCTACGAGCAGTTGTTTGACATAATTATGTCTTACGATATTTTTTTCTCTTATTTTTACCAAAATAAATATTTTGGACTGAATTTTAATATTTGATGTATTCAATATTTGATCATCAACATTTTAGTGAATAGACCCCAAACATAATTTTTTATAATAGAATACAGTGGGACCTCGGTTTACGAATTGAATGTGTTCTCCGGGACGTTTCTTATTGCGAAAAATTTGGAAACCAAAACGCGGTTTCCCATAGGAATGCATTGAAAACCAATTAATCCGTTCTGGAGGTCAGAAAAAAGTCAAAATAAGCTGGCATGGAAACCAACCCACAATGCAGAACACACAATAAAAGGCATGCAAACGACAAAGCTCAGCTCCCTACCTTTCCACAGCTTGAGAAATGCACCAAAAAGTCCCAAAACAACTGCAAACAATTTACAGAATGGCTCTAAAACGCCCCGTGCTACCCACAGGCTCCAGCATTCAGGGGGCAGTGCTATAAACCTCCCAGGTGCAATGCATCCTAGGGAAACTTGCTTTGTATTGCGAAAAAAAAAAGGTATAAACCAAGGCATTATTTTCAATGGATTTTCATTTGTAAACCGATTTATGTTAACCGAGGCATTTGTAAACAGAGGTCCCACTGTATATTTAAAGGGACACTATAGTCACCAGAACAACTACAGCTTAATGTAGTTGTTCTGGTGAGTATAATAGCTCCCTTCAGGCATTTTCATGTAAACACTGCCTTTTCACTGCCGACTCACACGGCGCTGGAAAGAAGGTGAGTTTTAAACTTTTATAGGGGGCTAAGCCATCTAAATGGTGGGTTTAGCACTATAGGGTCAGGAATACATGTTTGTGTTCCTGACCCTATAGTGATCCTTTAACAATACTAAACCAGGGACTCTTGTTGTGGTTTTAATTGTTCCTCTGCCGAGTGCAACTTGAAATTCGCACAGCCAGCATAAGTGTCCTTTAAGATGGTCACCACGCTTGTGGATGAATGACTTAAAAAGGTGTTTGTACATTGTTCCTGCACACACTGTGCTAACCAGATCACAGAGGTGTGCACAAAGTTGCAGCACTTACAGAAAGTATGAAGAAAGACAGGGACCTCCCTACACCACAACCTAGAGAAAGAGCACAGACGTTAAAGAGTTTGAAGAATTCTCATTATCCCATAAATAGAAGACTGTAATTATTCACTTAATCGAATGATTGGATCTCAGGTTTCATAAAATAATCTTTGTTTAATTAAAGCTGACATAACTTAAAGTTATTAAAACCAGAAAGAGCAATACATCCCAAGTGGGTGCAAATACAAAAATAAATAAAAAGATATTAAATGCTTTAAAAAAAAAATTAAAATTAAACTGGTTTATTTGAAAGGAAAACCATAACCATTGTAACCACTATATCCGGTTTTGTATATGGAGCCAAATTATTCTGTTAAAATAACACTATAGCGTTCGTGTTCTAGTCTCTCCCTATTTAGATTTATGCACACCTTTTGGAAAAAGGGTAAAAAAAGAAATATATTTGTATTTACTTCTTCTCCAGCACTGAGACTCACTCAGTGCCTCTGCCTGCTCCTTCTCCCGCAATGTTATCATGGAGGCAAACCTGCCCTAATGATTGTCCAATTCATTGCTTCTCAGAGAACCATTGTGGACGAGATGTGGCGAGCACACGTCCAATCTAATGCTTTTAATCGGGAAGTATCGAGTCAAATGCATCCCTACGAGCAGCAGTTGATTAGGTTCGACATCCCCAGGAATGCTGAATGTCATATGAAAGTAAAACTCCTTTATTGCAGTGTAAGCATTTTTAGTAGCTGTCAGGAAGACAACTATTAGAGGCATGTTTAACCCTTCAATCAAAACATTGCCGTATTTACTTAATAGCGATGTACTATATGGAAGAGCTAAAATGACTAGGCTACTGCACCTAGACCACTTCATTGAATTGAAGTTGGTTGGATGCCTGTAGTGGTCCTTTAGAAATTTCAAGCAGTCTATCACAAAACGAGGGGTCAGGCCATTATGTGGAAGTCACAATTCCCCTCTAGCAGTATCAGCAGTGATGTTGCTAGGTGAGTAAGCCCCTGCGGCTTTAGCCCCAAATATATTTGATAGCCCCCTTAAGACCACCCAATTTCCACTGTAAAAATACATACATATATACACACACACACATATATATATTTTTTTAAATGGCACACCTGGTTACACAAACAATGTTACAGACACAAACACAAAATGGAAAACACTGGCCTGCAGCATCTGGTTACCTTTTCCCAGTGGTCCACTGTAGTGCCCTTCGCCTCCACCAGGTGCAATCAGTGTAGTTTTCTCCTACAAGCACCAGCATTCAGAGTGTTGCCATGGTCTGTTTTTGGCCCAGGTACCCTGCCCCCTCCTCTCCCATTTTTTATCCCCCAGCATTTTGCCATTTGTTACGGATAGCCCTGAGTCCCCTGTTTTGGCCAGGCACATAGTAACAGATTGTAAATTTTAGACTGGGGTTTTTCAGGGACCCACTTTCAGTGCTGAAACATTGCATCTCTATGAGGAGATGCCGATTGGCGCAGCCCAGTGTTTTGCCTTGCATGCACAATAGCCTCCAATCTTTGGATGATCTCAGCTATGAAGTATAGAGAAGTAAAATACCTTCTATCTCCTTACTGAGGGAGGCTGGACAGCTAAATAGGTAGTCCAGCGCTATAGTATTAGGAATACTATAGTGTCCCTTTAAATTTGAAAATCACTTTGAATCCTCACTTTAGTAAACAACCTTATTGGCAATAGGGATAGGTTCTGAGCTCATCAACAAACATTAATTGTAATTTGGCAAAAGCCTGCTAATTTATTTGAACTTTAATCAAACCCAATATTGAATTTGACAGGTTACTGATGATTTTGGTCAGTGTATTTTTTCATTGACAAACAAAAATGTAAATTCGAATTACTGGTGTAATAAAACTAAAATAATAATATTAGACAGATAGATAATGTTTTCTCACTAATGCACATTGCATTAGTCTCTGCAATTCATAACTGGCACTGTGAGGAGTATTTAATTTACAACTATGTCCTGGGCCAGCCAGTGATTAATGGGTGTTACATTCCCGGACAACCGTATACAAGCTTAATTCAGCCCTTCTCCTAAGATTATGTCAAGAGAGGAGCTGAGGAGTTCTTCACTTGACATATCATTATTGTGAGAAACTGCAGGAGTGTAACAACCATCACTCTTGGGCAGACTCCCCTCCCTAAATTGAAAGGCACCCTCACCTTAATCCTAACCAATTTAAATAAAAAAACATAATGACATGTCTATATTAGTGGAATATAGTTTGGGAAAAGACATACTGATATGATATTCTACATATACTGTAATAATGGTCTCCTGAATTTAGATAACACGTTGTTGCAGTTCATGACAAGTGCAGGGTTTACCTAGTTAACTAGCTGTATAATTATATATGTATGTTATTTATGTGATCCAATGCCATACAATACAGAAAGGAGAGAATATACGCAAGTATAGGGACAAAATAGTGGACAAACTTAAAGTACTTTCTATGCGCTTTCTCAGGGAAAGTTGTTAACAGAACTAGACAATTCAGTAGAACGCTGTGGACAAACAGAACGTTCCCCTGGCTATTACCCAATTAGCCATTCTGTAATCCAGTTATTTAAAGATAAACTCTAGAGGAATATTTGTTTTTTGGTGCTGTGACCTAGTGTGGCCCTCTGTGATTCACTTTAAAGGCGCAGGCAAAGTGTAAACAGGACAGGAAAGAGTGAACAATAACAGAATGTAACAGCTGCCTCTTATAAGCAACACACCCAAACACTCTACTCTATTTCGTCATCTATTCCAATCTTTGACCACAGCAATGTAGGTATTGTAAGCAATGTGTGAAAGGTTTACAATCCACACCTTACCTGATAATCCAGTAATACATGTAATGGCTGAACTCTGGACAATGTATCTCTAGATTATAATTCTCTATATATTCTTTAAGAGATGCAGTTTTACATCGTGCAATAAATGTATCATGTATCAATAGAACTTTAAAGGAACACTATAGGGTCAGGAACACAAACATGTAATCCTGACCCTGTAGTGTTAAAACAACCATTTAGGTGGTTTGTCCCCCCCCTTAGAAGGGGGTCTGCCGATGCTGGCTTGACCCCTGAACCGCCTTCTTGTTGACATCATTAGATTTTGTAGTCAATCTAATGCTTTACCATAGGCAAGGAAAAAAGGCAAGGAGGCAAGGCAACACGCAGTTTTGGCCAATCAGTACCTCCTCATAGAGATGCATTGAATCAATGAGCAGAGCGTGAAGACGCTGAACGGCAGTGCTACCTACTCTGCAGCACTGCCCCAGGAAGCACCTCCAGTGGCCATCTTTTTCTCTAAAAAGGCAATGTTTGTATGAAGTTGCCTGAAGGAAATTATTATACTCACCAGAACAACTACATTAAGCTATAGTTGTTCTGGTGACTATAGTGTCCCTTTAACATTATATTCTAATCAACACCATAGCTAGCACTCTAAGCAGGGCCGACATGTCCTATAGGCGACTTAGGCAGTCGCCTAGGGGGCCCAGATTTGAGTGAACCGGCAGGAGGGAAGCGCACAGAGCTCTCTCCTGCCAGTCATTCAATGTAGCATGGCCGGGCGGTGCGGAGAGAGCACTTCCTGTCAGTCCAGCCAGGTACAGGAAACAGGAGCTCCTGTCCGCGCTGCCCGGCCACGCTACAAAGATAGGAAGGAGGCACCACAGGGAGGGGGGAAATAATACTAAGGGGGTAGGTGAGAGGGAGGATCACCAAGGGGGGGTGGGGGGGACGACGACACATTATATGAGATCACTAAGGGACAGGAGGGGGGAGGGATATCACAGAGGAACATGAGGGGAGAGCAGAAAGAGACAGGAGGGGAGAGCAATAAGGGACAGGAGGGGAGGGGAGATCACTAATTGACAGGAGGGGAGAGCACTATAAAAATAAAAAAAGAGCTGCTTCTCTCTCAGCCCCTATCCTACCCCACAAACCCTCTCTTTCACACTACACAATGCATCGCTACCCACACACAGACACACCAAAACACACAATGCATCCCTACCCACACACAGACACACCAAAACACACAATGTATCCCTTACGCACACACACAGAAACAAAATGCATAACTTACACAAACTCAATGCACCCCTTACAGACACACACTGCATTACATTACTAACACACGTACACAAACACACACTACGTTCCATAAGCACACATATTACATCCTCTACAATAACACACAACACATCCCCTACACACTCCCTGTGAGCGAACTTATGTATGGGCCATGTAGGTGGACTTATGGGCGGGCCTTGTAGGCATACTCACGGTCAGGCCCTGGGGGCCCGGAGCTTGAGCTGTGTTAAGGGGCCCCAAAAATGGAGCTGCTTCCGGTTTGTTGATTTTTGTGAGCACTGTTACAAACAGCCTCCAGAGAGCCTCTTCTACACCAGACTGCAGCCTGAGCCCATCATCATCCTCTTGTGCTCCTCATCTGGTGGTAAGTAGGAAATCTAGTATATTATTAGTTGCACTAATCTCTAATTTGCCTCACATTAAAGGGCCACTATAGTCATCAGAACCACTTCAGCTTAATGTAATGGTTCTGGGGTCTATAGCCTGTCCCTGCAGGCTTTTTAATGTAAACACACTGTATTATCAGATAAAAGAAACTGTATACAGAATTGGCATTGGCCCATATGGCAGATCATATGGGTGGGGCAAATTTGTGTTTGCCTAGGGTGGCAAAAATCCTTTCACTGGCCCGAAGTCAACATATAGGTTTGACAAAACTTACATTGATAAAGGGGGAAGTGTAAAATCCACATTATCAATGCAGCTGAAGAAAGGGGGGCAGTCAGGAAGGGCCTTAGTTGATGTAAAACTGTTACTTCAGTATTTTACACGAATTTGGTGTATGGCACCAAGACACTCAAAGCAACATAACCAACACACTGAACTGTAATGGTTGTATTGCTTAGAATGTCCCTTTAAAATGAACACTGCAGAGTCAGGAATACAAAACATGTATTCCTGACCCTATAGTGTTAAAGACACCATCCAGCCTCCCCTTTAAATATAGCAAAATCTTACCTATATTGCAGGCACCTGCTGTTTATGTTCCTAATCTGCTGGCTTGGGTCATCAGAAGTTGTGTTCTGAGCCAATCACAATGCTTTCCCATAGGATTGGCTGAGACTGACAAAGAGGCAGATCAGGTGCAGAGCCAGCACAATCCAAACTCAGCCCTGGCCAATCAGCATCTCCTAATAGAGATGAATTGAATCAATGAATCTCTATGAGGAAAGTTCAGTGTCTGCATGCAGAGGGAGGAGGTACTGAATGTTTGGATGCATTTTAGGCAGCCATGACCCAGGAAGGATCTCTAACAGCCATATGAGGAGTGGCCAGTGAAGTTATCACTAGGCTGTAATGTAAACACTACATTTTCTTTGAAAAGACAGTGTTTACAGTAAAAAGCCTGAAGGTAATGATCCTACTCACCAGAACAAATTCAATAAGCTGTAGTTGTTCTGGTGACTATAGTGTCCCTTTAAGCCAGGAGACATTATGTCTTCATAGATGTATGTAATTTAAAATCCCTGTTAGGGGAATTTTATATTTTATTTCAAGACACAGAGGATCCTATAATTTTTAAACCCTCTCTTTACTGTCCAACAGCAACAGACTAGATGGGCCGAATGGTTCTTATCTGCCGTCACAAAAAAAAAGAAATAGACAGGTCCAAGTGGTCACAAACGAGTCATGCTAAGCAAAATATTGTTTATATTTTAGGTAGAAGAGTAGTATTCATTGTAATAACATGGAGCATTATAAGAGTTGGAGCAAGTGTTTGGTGCAGTATTTCTGCTCACAAATACCAGTGTCAGATTAACACTAGGACATGTAGACACACGCTGAGGCCTTGCAGCAATTAAATACCTGCCGCCCAAGTAAAATATCCCAAGGCTTCTAAGAGCCTGAACAGCTCTACACAAAAGTGCATTTCTTGCTGCACATTTGGTGTACACGTGTACATTCAAACAAGTAAGCAGGGGTGACCGGTTTACTAGACATGTGGCCCTGTACTAGTGGGCCCCTGAGGCGGGCTTTCCAGCTTTGCAATCTTAAAGTTGCTACGTGAGAGAAAAAAAGAAAAAAAAAAAAAGAAATCTGTGTCCTGCAGTTTCTATAGATTTCATAGCTTCTCATTTCAAAGCGTCAATATGCAGTTTTCCTAAGTAAAATAAATCGCATTACACAGCAGCGAACAGCACTCTTTACTAGAATTAACTTACCCTGGTCTCTATTAATAATAATTGCACAGTTAATGGGATGTCACTTCTCTGGAAAGTATTAAAAACGATCTCTACCTTGTGTACTTCCTTACTTCCACGTAATTCTCTATATTAAAAAGGGACAGTCTAGGGACCATAAGCATTACAGTCTGCTGTAGTGGTTATGGTACCAGGAGTACCCTGGCGCAGTTCCATGGTAAATAGTTAAAAACATGTTTCCAACATTAATGGAGATGTTCCTACTTTTGCATTAGTATTAGTGACATTGATTCTGCCCATGTTCAGATGGAATTCATTGGCTGAGATACATTTTATCCAAACAGGGATGAAATTTACATATTTACTGCAGAAGAAGAACTTTCACTTAAAAAAAACGAAACCAGACCAGAATTACTTGGGTTAAAAAGTTAAGTGTCACATGCATGCCAACGATCTGGAGGGGGTTCCTAGCAACCTCCATAACAGAGAGACTGACTGGCAAGCCCCAGGACCATGCAGAGTGCATCTAAGGTAAATATATAGCAGGTGAGGTCAGTGTTTTAATTTCCAGTTCTTGATTAAGCACCCATGATCCTCTGGGAGATACCTAAAATGCAATTAAAAAAACAAAACCTAGCACTCTACCTGCAAATGCAATACAGAATACCAGAAATACAAAAACTGTATAAGAAGTGTCTGACCTGATTGAGTTATTAAACAATCTCAGAATTTTGCAGAAATGGCAAACTGTAGGCCAACATTGCATTCGAAAAATCCTCTAATTTAACAATTCTTGCAGCTCAGATAATATGGGCAAACAAAATTTGCATTTTAGTGGAAAATCCACATGAGTCTATCAAATGGGTTTAAAATTTTATTTATACCTTATTCTAGGGAAACGTGCAGGTATACAGTTATTATTCTGAATGGAATTCATTACAAGAGTTCAGAATACACGGGTAAATAAGATTATTCTGGTTTACACTTGTAAAGAGATATAAGTTAAAGGAGTTGTAGTGATATATAGCCCATAAATACATGTTACCACAATGCTAGGCTGTACCCCAGGTTAGAAACCTCTATCAATTCCCTAAAAAACAAACAAAAAAAAAAAAACAGTGCTGCAATGAAAAACTGATATTACTTACAGAGTTATATAATTTATCAGAAGCAAGCTGCCTCTTAGATAATAAGGTGTTGACTGCCAAAGCTGTCAGCATACATTATCTATAATTAAAGGAACACTATAGTCACCTAAATTACTTTAGCTAAATAAAGCAGTTTTAGTGTATAGATCATTCCCCTGCAATTTCACTGTCATTTAGTAGTTAAATCACTTTGTTTCTGTTTATGCAGCCCTAGCCACACCTCCCCTGGCTATCATTGACAGAGCCTGCATGAAAAAAACCCAACTGGTTTCACTTTCAAACAGATGTAATTCACCTTAAATAATTGTATCACAATCTCTAAATTGAACTTTAATCACATACAGGAGGCTCTTGCAGGGTCTAGCAAGCTATTAACATAGCAGGGGATAAGAAAATCTGAATTAAACAGAACTTTCAATAAAGAAAGCCTAAATAGGGCTCTCTTTACAGGAAGTGTTTATGGAAGGCTGTGCAAGTCACATGCAGGGAGGTGTGACTAGGGTTCATAAACAAAGGGATTTAACTCCTAAATGGCAGAGGATTGAGCAGTGAGGCTGCAGGGGCATGTTCTATACACCAAAACTGCTTCATTAAGCTAAAGTTGTTCAGGTGACTATAGTGTCCCTTTAAATACTGGCCTAATTTCAGCATTAGAAACTCAAAGTAGACTGGTCCCTGGAAGCTGTTTCACAGGGCACCGGCAAAAAAAACAAAAACGAACAAGTAACGCATAGACAACTTCCGTGCCATCTGGGGGAACTAATCTCAAGCAGAACTGGGACACACATCTCAGTCTGCCCAAGGTTAGTGGGAGTTACACTCCCATACAGTATCCGAAACCATTTTAAAAGGGACACCACTCCAGCCACCAAGAGAAAATGAATGCATTTGATAGGTTTTGGCCTCATGAATATGCTACCGTATTTTCCGGCATATAAGACGACCCCCAACTTTTCCAGTTAAAATATAGAGTTTGGGATATACTCGCCGTATAAGACTACCCCTCTTCCAATGCACACCAAATAAAAATTAGCCATGATGTACAGTGAGCAGACAGAGCTTTCAGTCCGGCCGGGAACAGGCAACTGAATCTCCTGTACCGCGCGGTACCCGGCCGGACTGACAGGATGAAGAGGAGCTCGGCCACCCACGCTACACAGGGAAGGGGAGGTGAGAAGAGAGGGAGTGCGGCAGCCGTCTGAGCGCTCTCTATAGAGCGCTCAGGCAGCTGCAGCATTAGAAGGGCCGGCGATGGGGGCGCCCCCGGCAGCCATATAGACCCTATACCCGGCGTATAAGACGACCCCCGACTTTGGAGAAGAAGATTTTCCAAGGTTAAAAAAGTCATCTTATACGCCAGAAAATAGAGTATATATTTTTGCATGACATGATCAAATCTTTATAGTTTTTGCACATAACAAAATAAAGTTTTTTTTTGCATGCTCAAATCTTTATAGTTTTTGCATAAAATAAATGTTTTGCAGAATTCTGCACCATAAGCCCCCCTCATGAGCCACAACCCCTCATTTCAGAAACACTTCCTTATCAAAACATTTGCACACAGTCTCAGCCCCAATAGCACTGACTGAACTGCTATTAATGCACTACCGGGAGACAGAAAATCAGAGAAACTACAAAACAGGTAGTTTGTGTGATATAATTACTATGTGCCTCCCTGGGCGTCCTCTCCTACTAATTCAGGTTGCTTTGTAATTCAAGTCCACTTTTGGAATAAGGGTGTTTGGCTAAACATACAGGCTTATGGTGCAGCATTCTGCAAAACATTTATTTTATGCAAAAACTATAAAGATTTGAGCATGCAAAAAAAAAAACAAAACAAAGAAATTCCCCCAAATTATCAAATGCATTAAAGTATAGGTGCCCGTAGTGTCCCTTTAATGACAGCAGCTGAAATAGCGGCCATGCGACACTAACCCCCACTAACCTCAGGCAGCACTGGACCATGCAGTTTTAATCACTTACGTAAGAATCCTTTGAATTGTAAGTGATTTTGAAATTCTAGATTACAATATATAGCTGTACCGTTAATCCTCACAATAACCATGTTTTAATTTTAGCAATCTTGGACTAAAGTGTTGATATGTACTTTGGATTACTGCAGTCAAGACTTTTGTAAAAAGTCCTGCAATACTTTCACCTCTCTGTGAATCCTATCTCTGCCATCTCTGGGTGTTGACATTTACAGCCCTGGCCAGGCCTAGCTTCCTTTTATTCTCTGTCTAACTAATGAAGTATCTGTTCACAGACACACCCTTGCAAATACCTGAAGCATGACTTGTCAGATATGAGGAAGAGACCCAGAGTGACACCACATCCCACCCCCTAAGCAGGCACAGCTAGGCATGCAGCTGATCACTCCCACCATGCTCAGCCAGCCCATAGCCAAATACTGAAATCTCAGAGTTTGTGTGTTTTTGTACTATGTATCTTATTGTAAACATGTTTAGACAGGATATTTACCATCACAAAGGGGTATGCAGGCCCTGTCTGTAAGGGCACCTCTTCTTGGTCCTGTTGTAGCTGTACATATTTCTCCACCCCTTCCTCCTCATACACTTTCCTATCCTCAGACATGTTAAACAGGGTCCTGGAGGAGACTGCGATGGTCACAGCATTCTGGGGCTTTGGCTGAAAAATAAAAGTAATAAATAATAAATGTGCATCTTGGGCAGAGCTGGGAAAAAAAAGATTAATGTAAATCTTGGAGAGAGAATACGTATTCAGTCTAGAGTTGAAGTAGAATAAAAGTATCAGCCATGGGGTTTTAACCCTCTCAGTGCTGGAGTGTTAGAATTCAGGGATAGTTAACCCTCTCAGTGCTGGAGTGTTAGAATTTAGGGATAGTTAACCCTCTCAGTGCTGGAGTATTAAAATTCAGGGATAGTTAACCCACTCACTGCTGGAGTATAAGAATTCAGGGATAGTTAACCCTCTCAGTGCTGGAGTATTAGAATTCAAGGATAGTTAACCCTCTCACTGCTGGAGTATTAGAATTCAGGGATAGTTAACCCTCTCAGTGCTGGAGTATTAGAATTCAGGGATAGTTAACCCCCTGGGTGCCATTATTGGGGGTGTCCCCTGGCACTCAGAGGGTTGCAGACCCGGGGGCAAGGCAGTGGACCCTACATACCAGTCTGGGTTTCTTCTTGGGGGCCAGGTTGTCATAGAAGGCCTTGGCTGCGGCGGGGTCCTCGCTGTGATGGGGGGTCTCTGCCGGGGGATCCGGGGCCCCTGGCTGTCCATTGGCCGGGGGGTCGGTGGTGGGGGTCTTGGCTTTGCTCATGTCGCCGCTCGCCGGGGTGCTGCCGCTCGGGTTTCGGGTGAGTTTGATGTCTCCGGCGGCTCTGGGTGTGTCGGAGTGTGGGAGGAGGATCCGGCACCAGGGGCGGGCGGGCCGGCTGTGTACTGCGCTACTGCTACGGAGGAGTGCTGCCTGGGATCCCTCCCTGCAATACTATACCTGTATCAACACATGGGGTATCCCTGCCTTAATACATGGGGTATCCCTGCAATAACAACACATGGGGTATCCCTGCAATAACAACACATGGGGTATCCCTGCAATAACACATGGGGTATCCCTGCAATAACAACACATGGGGTATCCCTGCAATAACAACACATGGGGTATCCCTGCAATAACAACACATGGGGTATCCCTGCAATAACAACACATGGTGTATCCCTGCATTAACAACACATGGGGTATCCCTGCATTAACAACACATGGGGTATCACTGCATTAACAACACATGGGGTATCCCTGCAATAACAACACATGGGGTATCCCTGCAATAACAACACATGGGGTATCCCTGCAATAACAACACATGGGGTATCACTGCATTAACAACACATGGGGTATCACTGCATTAACAACACATGGGGTATCCCTGCAATAACAACACATGGGGTATCACTGCATTAACAACACATGGGGTATCCCTGCATTAACAACACATGGGGTATCCCTGCATTAACAACACATGGGGTATCCCTGCAATAACAACACATGGGGTATCCCTGCATTAACAACATATGGGGTATCACTGCATTAACAACACATGGGGTATCCCTGCATTAACAACACATGGGGTATCCCTGCAATAACAACACATGGGGTATCCCTGCAATAACAACACATGGGGTATCCCTGCATTAACAACACATGGGGTATCCCTGCAATTATATATGGAATATATCTGTATCAATATATATCTGTATCAAAACATGGGGTATCACTGCAATAATATATGGAATATATCTGTATCAATATATCTGTATCAAAACATGGGGTATCACTGCATTAACAACACATGGGGTATCCCTGCAATAACAGATAGGGTATCCCTGCAATAATATATGGAATATATCTGTATCAAAACATGGGGTATCCCTGCAAAAATATATGGAATATATCTGTATCAAAACATGGGGTATCCCTGCAATAATATATGGAATATATCTGTATCAAAACATGGGGTATCCCTGCAATAATATATGGAATATATCTGTATCAAAACATGGGGTATCCCTGTATTAACAACACATGGGGTATCCCTGTATTAACAACACATGGGGTATCCCTGCAATAATATATGGAATATATATGCATCAAAACATGGGTTATCCCTGCTTTAACAAAACATGGGGTATCCCTGTATTAACAAAACATGGGGTATCCCTGTATTAACAACACATGGGGTATCCCTACATTAATACATGGGGTATCCCTGCCTGAAAACATGGCCATCCCTGCATTAACAACGCATGGGGTATCCCTGCCTTAACACATGGAATGTCACTGGCTCAATAAATGAGGTATCACTCCTGTAACATATGGTGCATCAATGCTTTAACACATGGATTGTTACTGGCTCAATAAATTAGGTATCTCTGCATCAACAAATAGGGTATTATTGTTTAACAAATGGGGTGTCCATGGCTCAACAAATAGAGTATCACTGGTTTAACAAATGGGGTATAACTGGCTTTTATAATAACTGGCATTGTGCTCTGGGCTCCTCTGTTGGGGTATTCCTGGTCTTTTCCTAGACCCCAGTGACTGCCTATCCCTGGCTCCCCCAGTGGGGTATTCCTATGCTCCTGTAATGGGGTATCCCTGGCTCCCCCAGTGGGGTATTGTTATGCTCCTGTAATGGGGTATCCCTGGCTCCCCCAGTGGGGTGTTCCTATGCTCCTGTAATGGGGTATCCCTGGCTCCCCCAATGGGGTATTCATATGCTCCTGTAATGGGGTATCCCTGGCTCCCCCAGTGGGGTGTTCCTATGCTCCTGTAATGGGGTATACCTGGCTCCCCCAGTGGGGTGTTCCTATGCTCCTGTAATGGGGTATCCCTGACTCCCCCAGTGGAGTATTGTTATGCTCCTGTAATGGGTTGTCCCTGACTCCCCCAGTGGGGTATTGTTATGCTCCTGTAATGGGGTGTCCCTGGCTCCCCCAGTGGGGTATTCCTATGCTCCTGTAATGGGGTGTCCCTGGCTCCCCCAGTCGGGTATTCCTATGATCCTGTAATGGGGTATCCCTGACTCCCCCAGTGGGGTATTGTTATGCTCCTGTAATGGGGTGTCCCTGGCTCCCCCAGTGGGGTGTTCCTATGCTTCTGTAATGGGGTGTCCCTGGCTCCCCCAGTGGGGTGTTCCTATGCTCCTGTAATGGGGTATCCCTGGCTCCCCCAGTGAGGTATTCCTATGCTCCTGTAATGGGATATCCCTGGCTCCCCCAGTGGGGTATTCCTATGCTCCTGTAATGGGGTATCCCTGGCTCCCCTAGTGGGGTATTCCTATGCTCCTGTAATGGGGTATCCCTGGCTCCCCCAGTGGGGTGTTCCTATGCTCCTGTAATGGGGTATCCCTGGCCCTCTGATGCTGGTATACCTATTACCTATACCTATTATTATGGCCAGGTATCCCTAGCTCCTCTAATAGGGTGTTTTTAAGCTCCTGTGCTGGGGTATTCCTATTTATCGTCTGGATCTATGGCTGACATGTTTTCTCTGAATAAAATGCAAATTAATAGCTGATGTTTCAGCAGAATGTGTCTCTGCCCCTTCCCAGCACTGTCACTCAGTCTGCTTTCTATTATGCAAGGGGAAGTGGGACGGTGACAGTTTGTAACCTGCTCAATTACCTAACTGGGTGAATAGGCAAAACAGCTCTTAATTCTGTATTTGCTGTTGGACTACAACTCCCATCACCTTGACCTAAAATCCTATGAGTTGTAGCACACCATTAGATGGGATGAAGCAACCAGTTGCCAACTCCTTATTTATAATACCCCAATTTATTTTATAAAGAGAACACTGACAACATTGATCTCTGTACATCTGTTCAAAGTCATATGTTACATGTTGATAGTGAGTGCTGACATCATATATATAGTGCTGACATCATATATAATATAAATGTAGATTGCATTACTCAGGGGTCAGCTCTATACAACCATCTATACCCCTGGACCTTAAAGGTTTATATCTTTTATTATTACCATTTATTGTTGTAAAATGTGTATATTTTTTTCCTTAGCAGCACTGTTTTCTTATTATTAGTAACATTTGTATTAAGGTATTTTTAGCCACTTTTAGGTGAAAAGAGGTGCCTGTTTTTGTAGATTTGCACTATATATAAAAATGAGGAAAAAGAACTGTCAGATTGACATAGTATTTAGAATGGCCGAGTGTTTCAATGGAACCTAATTTAGCTTTTTAAAATTCCACTATTTAAAATAAATAATAAATACAATTATATATGCGCAGACACGCGCACGCTAAAGGTATCTGGAAGATGAGTTATTAGTATCAGGGGAGTGGGAATTCATGGGAAGTGGAAAGGTGACCTTAATTTGGTGTAGGGGGAATGTTTGTGGAATAGAAGGGGCAGCTGCAGAAAAAAAATATATTCTTAAATAGATAAAAGAGGCCCTGGCAATCGGATGGGCAGTAAAAAACTTCCATATTTATATAAATGGTCGACCCTTCACAATGCTTACAGACCATAAACCTTTATTGACCATTTTTAACCCACAGAAAATCTCGATCATGACTGCAGCAAGGCTTCAGAGGAATGCCTTAACTCTGTAGGCCTATCGATATCAGATACAATATCGTCCAAACTCTCTGCATTCTAATGCAGATGCTTTCTCTAGGCTTCCATTGAAAATGGATTCACAAAAAGATCTACAATATAATTTACGGAGCTGATAACAGCTAAATAAATTGCACAGGAGACAGCCAAGGACTCTGTACTGAGAAGAATACATGGCCACTAAAGACCCCAATACATCTCAAGTCATTCCAAACAAGGATTCAGGAGTTTTCCATTTGAGATGGCTGTTTAATCTGGTGAGAAAGGGTTGTTATCCGTTTTGTGTTACAACAACATATTCTTAACATTTTACATACATGTCATGCTGGCATAGTCCACATGAATCAGAAGGCAAGAGGTCATGTATGGTGGACAGCCATTGATGAGGTTATTGTCTGTTATGTTGCACTGGCTGTGCACAAGCTCAGCATGACTTGCCACGTGGTGACAACCTTGGACCTGGCCTCGATCACCATGGCAGATAATTGACATAGACTTTGCTGGACCAGTGGAAAAAAAAGTATCTGATTGTGGTAGATGCATATTCTAAATGGCCAGAAGTTGTATTCGTGTCACAGACCACTGCAGAAGCTACTGTTAAAGGCTTATAGAAACTATTTGCAACATTTGGCCTGCCCAGAGTGCTTGTTTCAGATAATGGACCACAGTTTGTTTCTGAACAATTTCAGGCTTTTCTCAAGTAAAACGGTATTCGGCATCATTGAACAGCACCGTATTATCCTGCTACTAATGGTTAAGTAGAGCGTTTTTCTCAAATGCTAAAGGGTTTTATGAGATGTCTGAAAGCAGAATAAAAGAGGCGTGAACAACATTTGTTTGAGTTCCTTCTACAGTATCGAAATACACCTCATCCAACCACTGGACAACCTCCAGCATGCCTTATGTTAGACCAAGTAGTCAGGACAAAGTTGGATCTGTTAAAGCCAGAGACTCCGCAAAAGTTCGTCCAGCAAGAAACGAAGATGCAAGGCAAAAAAGCATGTCGTTGTTACACGATAGGGGATTCTGTTTGGATTCATTTATATCTTTAAGATAATCGTTGGCAAGAAGCGGTGACAAAGGAAGTTCTAGGGCCAGCACACTATAAAGTTTTAACCTCTGATGGATGTTGCACATGGAGACATACAAATCAACTTCGACCACGTATAACAGACAACCTATCAAAGCCGGCAGAGTCACCCATGCAGCCGGACTGTCAGGGTTTCTATGCTGTTTTAAACAGCAACCCTTCCTTCTTCTGTGTCTGAGTTTTCAGCTGATATTAACGATCCGCTCCTTCAGTATGTTGCCACGGTTACTCACCTGATAGTAGTAAC